GGAAGAGAAACGCGCGCTCGCGAGCGTTTACCACCCACAATCATTTGCCAAAACGCGCCTCTCGCCCGTGATTTCCACGCGGCGCGCACCGTCGGGGCACCGCGGCCCCGAGACGCCGCACGTCAGAATATTTGAGATGGGTTCGCCCCGAGCGCTAAGGGAACCAATCACCAATCTTTCAGAGAAACGTCGTCGAAGTTCATGTTCGCGCGATCGTCAAAAGATCATCCTTGCCTCCCGGTAAAATATAGATTTCTTCAATGAGCGTGCACAAGACTTTAAGACTCTTTAATTACGTTTGGCTCGTTAACATTGTTACGAGACGAGCGAAACATATACGTGTATCATTTTAATATTAGTAGGGACGGCTCTTATAGGGTAAGACGACCAAATGCGGATCAAATAAGCGACATTTTAAAGTAATTCACTTAATTTTTGCTCTTGTACATATTTTCAACTTTATGCTACGTTGTCGATATCGCGAAAGGCATCGACGTGCTTTCGCGTCGCTTATTAGCGACTCGTCAAATTGTTGATCCGCATTTGGTATTTGATCCGAACTTGGTCACCTTACCCTAATGTTAATTATATTTTTCTTAATTATATTTCAAACTGAGCTTGATTATATCTCATGAAATATCTCAGTGTATCTTAGAATCGACCCGCAAGATACATACAGGGAAGATGAGAAACAGCGCACTTAGGATAAAAGATGCGCGTTAGATGTATAGATTGAGAGGAATTAACGAATTTAGTAGCTTGGTGCATGATTTGGATCATGCACGGCTTGCGCAGGTAAAAAAATTCGAACCATTACTGCGGTTCTTGAATCGCGCATTAGGCTCACATTATGCACGCTTGCGTTTCAATTAACATCGCGTTTCACGTGAAATTGCTTAATCCGCCGCATGCACGAGACTAACAAACCGCTATTAACGTGATTATCGTTGGTAACTGAAAACGCTTTATGGAACAAAACGCTACCTGATACGCGCCTTGCAGAAATTACCTATTAATTTCTCGAAAATAGTAATATTAACATTCTATTCGCGCGTCACTTAATTAACGAATCACGTTATTCAATTCCGCAAACAGCGTGACTCTTCATGCACGTAAATCATAACTTAATAATTACCTAGTAAAATGAAACTCCCGATATTCGGTAACACGCAACTAATAACATGAAATCGCCTTCACGGAGAACGATATAATTTACGATATAATTTATGTCTTTATTTTACATCTTTTCATTAACTTCCCAATTAAGTAAATCAATTATCGAATAAGCGCGGACACTTGTTGCCATGAACCCTGTTAGCCGGCCATTCAAGGAGCGCAATTAGCCGCGTGAAACTTAAGACTCCGTACCGAGCGAGAGTAATATCGTCCGTTCTTTCTCCGCGATTTCTCCTTTAATCACCGCTCGTCAATCCTGAATACATAGTGCTGCGAAATAAGGAAACGTCGTTTACCTTCCAAATACCATTTTCGAGTATCAACGAGCGTAAGCGGCCGCAGTTAAGGCTATTTTTGGCACGTTCGCGGCGCTTCGTAGACGCATTCGCGTGGGTATCCTTGAGGCAAAGGATCAACACTTTCGATCTTCCAAACCCGCGTGACGACCGCGAGACGCGCGAAAGAGAAGAAATTCCGGCCGGTGTAAGTTAACATTACTGCTTGATAAATTCCGCTGATGCGGACACCACGGCCTCCGAAGGCTGGGCGAAAAAAAAAGACAAGTAGGGAGAACCTGAGAGAAACATCGACGCAAAAGGTAGCTTCTTTGCCACCTATGTTGGTTTAGCCTCGCTCGTTAATCCCATCCACCTACGCATTTTCGTCAGAGTTCAAGGATATCTAGGATATTAAGTGGCGCCTAGCGTTTTCACCTCTCCAAGTACACCGTACCCTCCGCCTCTTTCACTGTCCTCTCTTTCTCCTCCATTTCGGCCACGGCACAGCGCCGGTAACCGATCCGATCCTATCAAGGATGCAGTTAATTACACGTCGCGCAACAGCCGAGCCACAAAGCCATCAGGTCTCACTCAAAGAGATCAACAAAAGAGCGGTGCGCCGACCGGGACCAGACGGGCGTCCTATGCGATTGGCTATTCGCATACCTGTCGGCTATTAACCGTTGATGCGAATCACCGTTTTATCCTCGAATTATACAAATCGGGCCGCGTCCTTTGTGCGGGCCGATCGACGACCGAGGGAGGAGAGCGAGAAGCCCGGGGGGTGATCGCGCGAAAGGTCGTGCTTTGACCCGCTCGCGAGTGCCCAACGCCCTTCCCGCATTAAAGAAATATCTCGTGTATTTATTTCCCATTCGGCCGAACGAGTAAATAGTATTTAATCCTTTCAGTCACAGCGTGCCACCAGTGTGCCACCTGGATACCACCGGTTTTGTTAAGCTTTATGAGCAGTATATAACCAATTTCTTTGCAGTGTTTTCTTTCTTACCTTCCTGCGATTCTAATAAGTAGGAAAAAATTATAATAATGCATAAATGTTTTATACAATTATTGTTAATAACAAATAAGTATCAAAAAATAACAAAATTTGTGAAATCAATTCATGCCAAGAAAAAATATTAGCTATTATTTCCTAGAAATTTGTATATAGGGGGTTTTCGAGGTCGCTGATCAGGAATCCGGTGCCGGATTTTCAAAAGTAAACCAATTTTTATGATAAACCGATAGCTAGAAAAATTGGTGACTGAAAGGGTTAATGCGGCGAGCCGGCGAAAAACTCGGCCCGGCGTCGTTAAAAGATCACGCGCGTGTCACGTTTTTCGCGCGACGCACTTACGACAATGTTTTTAGTGGCGCCTTCGCCGCGAGAAATAATCGCGTCGGATATCGCCGTAGAACGTCTTCATATTTCTCCACGTACGCAAACATTTCCCCAACACTCGCGAGCAGACACTGATAATTAATACTTTTATTATCGTAATAACAAATAGTTTTTATACGTCGTAAGAAATCGCCGCTAATTACGGCGCTCTTGCATTACTCTTCCTCGATCGTATAACGCAATCCTTACACATTACTCGACCGTGTAGCACTTGGGGACGTCCTTTGCACGCACGTGATAACGGAGAAAGAGGGAAGGAGGCCGAGAGAGCGGGAGAGAGACGGGAGACGGAAGACGAGCAAGAGTGCGGTGTACAATGTTCGGTAAATCATTGGACGTTTATTGCAGTTAATTAGTCGACTGACCGGCCCCGTCAGACTGCTTTGCATGTACCATTCGAAGCAGAAGAGCACATATGCGCGCGTGATGGCGCCGTGCAAGGGTTAACACGCGTCTCCATTCAGTACGAATAAAGTACGAAGAATTGGACGTTATCGCAAACATCGTCAGAATTTCGGGAATTTTATTCGACCCGTTCCGGCTACTTCACGGCCATTGGATGAGAATTTTAGTAATTGCATCTTCTCCGTTCATACGAAGAATTCTTCGCGATCGGTTAAGATAAGAAGCGAAATTGTGTGTTGTAGCTATTGACATTCCATTGATAACCAAAAGCATGAACTTCTCTTGTAAATTTTTCACTTTCAGAAAATATAATTTTGTAAAGGCAAAGGCAATAATGTTACTCTGTTCCTATTTAAAATTATCTTCTTTAAAGTGAAGAAATAAAAAATGCAAGAGATGACAGTTTTTCGTTATAACTTTAATATTTTATTATCGTTAAAATATCTCTGAAAATAATCAAAATGCACCTTTAACAGTGTTAAATATTGAAAAGATGCCTAATATCACATGTTCTTTTAAGAACGATCAACATTTTTAACTGAAGATACCGAAAGACATAAAGAAAACTGAAAAATTCTTCGTATCGTTTGAGAAACCGCGTTTACACAACAACGCTATTAAGAGCGAGTTTCACAAACGTCGCTTTACCGAAGGTTAATTGATTCTCTGCCTCTTCTTAGATAATAAGATAGAAAAAGATCGGGAGTGGACTGGACTCTGGTTAACAGTTAACTGACGTTCGTGAAACTGACCCTAAGTGTGGAAGTTACATACCACGATTGGCAAACAATTAAGGCGAAAAAGAATTATCGAGATACTCTTCCTAATACCAACGAAAGAATGCGAATCGCCAGTAGTTAATTAACGATAATAAGAATTGTTAGACGACATTAGGCCGGCAGATGGTTTATTTTTTAATTCCGACGTTTCGACCATGCGGATTGTGGGTCCTTTTCAAGGAATTTAATAATAAATATTACGTCATCGATATTAAATTAAAAACGGGATTTGACATCCATCTCTCGGCGTCTCTCACACTCTTCATACGTTTATTCGTCAACCGTAATTAATCTTATTCCTCGCTGCAATACGAATCAAGGTATTCCGAATAGTGTAACATGATTCGCTATATAGTTGACGCTTTACGGTCTAAATTAGCGAACGAAAATATTCAGAGGAAAGAGAAAACGAGAGGAAGAGAGAGAAAGGGCGATAAACTTCAGACGCGATATTCGCCCCTGGTTCGCGGTTTCTCGACGGCGGAATGCCGAGAATGAGAAAAACGGTACATACTGAACTCGGCTTCCTCGTTAAAGTAACACGATTTGCGCGCGAATGATTAACCGGCCGTCACCCGCGCTATGCGAATCGCGCGCTGATCAATCGCCAATCGCCATGAAGGGATAATAAATGTGAAATACGATTGGCATTAAGCGAGAGGTTAACGTAAGTCGTACCAGAAAAGGTTCGCGTTGTCTCGCACGCGTGCCTGACATTAAATCGAATGGATTGTTGGCGGAGCTTAATACAATCCAATGGAGAGCCATTCTATGTCAGGCTAATCTTTTTCTAAGTGCGCATAAATAACTTGAATTTCAATCGGTTTTAAGTATCTTGCAATGAAAGAAACAATATGACTACATATCTGCAAAATTTGCAATTTCGTGTGTGTACATATAAAAAAAATATACATAGATAATTACATTTAGCAGCGTAAATGCAATCATTGGCGTACTCACTTTTGAATTATGTCCATAGTCGGCACCTTCCTCCCTGGTATAGCAATCTTCTCGTATTTAACACCAGCATTTGTAAATTCCTGCAACAGAACCGTTAACAACATAAACAATCACATGCATATTGTTGCGTAATAAAAACAGAATATTCTGCGTCGCATGAAACGCGGATAATAGAACGCGTATTGAATTGAACACGCATATAATTTGATCGGCCAAGCTATTGTCCTGTTAAACCGCCCCGGCGCACTCATTAGCATCACTAATTATCACACGTAAAACCGTCAATTACAAACAATGCGGATAATCATACGTCTCTGAGTGCGAGCGTGTCATTCAAGTATGACGTAAACTGAACGTTCGGAAACCGAAACAATCGATCGTTAGATACGAAATTTGCAAGGGCGGAGAGAAAAATTACGACTCTGTAGATTAATCGGCACGAATAAAAGAAAGATTCACAATAATTTGTATCTCGGAAAGTATCCCTCGGTGCACGGCTAGAGGCAACGAGTGTTGCAACTAATTCATGAATTTCGCTATTTCTCTGGGCTGATACTTTTAAACGCTCAAACGCGCTACTACATATTTAAATGTTAAACGAAAAGTAAATATAAGCAACAAAAGTGTTGCGGAAAATTTAGGTCTATGTAAACTTAATAATCAGTATCGAACGAGAATTAATTTTGAAAAATTAAAATATTTTGCGCTACCTTTACAAAAAGCCTCGCTTAACAATAACAGTAACAACAACGTAACTCGAACCTGAGTGATGTCAGATAACAGTTACCACTAGTTTTTCCTCTCTGATGACAGATCACATCATAATAATCAATCTTTTTGACTTTGCTTTTAGCGAGATATTAGAAACTCAATCCTGGTGATCGTGCACTATTGCGCTTAATGGCTATATCGAACCTATTTTCTTTTTCCCGGCCGTCGATAATGCGCAAGAAACTCTTTCGCACGTTGAAGAATATTTCCGATTTTCACTCTCGATAAAAGTTAATTTATAATAAATCAGGAGAGAAAATGTATTGCCGAAGATAAGAAATTTTGTAATAACAATTTATACACAATTCTCTGCTCGTACGAGAGATTCTCTAATCGCAAATTTAACTTGCGATATTTCGGAGATTTTGAGAAAAAGAAAGTAGAAAACTCAGCGTGCATCGTTTGTTCAAACCGCAAGAGTTTTGTATATGTAAATATACACAAAATTGAGAGAGTAAAAGACACATCTAATGATAAAATCTTTACGAAGCGGTATGCGAGGTCCTTTGTCTCTACAATCTTGTTTTCCCCCATGACATCGGCCACGGGCAGGAAAATTAAAGGACCGCCTAAGCGCTTCATTATACGTGTATAATGTGCTCTAATTAGGCGTGGGCGACACCGAGAGATCTCTCTGTTAATTATCGTTGCCCCGCAGCGCTATTGATGTTCGCGCCGGCGTGTATAATGTTTTTAAAACATATCCCCCTGGGATTCCTCACTCTCCTCGCGTGGCAATTGGCTGTCCAAACGCCGGTGGGGCCGGGACAAAAAGCAAAAGATAAAGCGACCGAACCGACTCCACGACTTATTAATATAATTGATCGGTCTTCGGTCCTTCTCTCTTTGACAGCTCTGACCCAGAAAACATCGCGGACACATTCCCGTTCGACACAACGGCCGGCAGTCAGCCGATCGAGTCGCTCTGTGGCAGCTGGCTATTCCAAAAATCTAATAATAAGTTCATTAGCTCGCGGGCCCTCTACCCTCGCTACAAATTAGTCGGGCCGCTCTCGAGTCCAAAGTGACCCTGATGCGATATTAGAATGTCAAGGCGAGAGCGAACGAAGAGGAGCGGATGAAACCGAGAAAGAAAGAAAGATGGACGAACAACGATAACAGTTGAACCGTGAAGTTTGAGAAAAGGAAGGAGAGAATTTGTATATCTGCTCGATCAAGGAATGCAGCAGCAGGTGACAGCTTGCGGGAGAGTGAGAAGAGAAGATGTCTCCTGTCTCGAATTACTAAAAGGTAAGAGAGCGCGTGCATAAACATAGCGAATTACGACGTGAAATTCGAACGATACGCGATATGTTTCCGCATTAAATTCATGTAGCTACATCAGTATTATTTCATCAAACGATATTGCCTGCATACGTGGCCCCTTTTTAATCGCGTGTAACAATCTTACATTAATTTGTCTCTTACGTTACGTCCTGTATTATGTTTGCAATAATATTTATTTCACAATTAATGAAATTATCGGTATTCATTAATTATCGACTGTGTAAAGTGATCGCTATTTGTTCAAATCGGTAAAGATCGGTCGTTCGATTAAATACTCAGTTCAAGTTTTAACTTTGTGTCTCTTACCTTTTTGTCATAGTAGCGATACGTATTGGTCAAATCGACGATATACTTGAGATGAGGAAAGGCTTGCAGCAACACTTTCGTAGTAAATCTGCAACAACGGACAACATGTGGCCGGATTATAATGTGCGCGCAGAGTGGTGTTCCGATTTATCGGTCGCTCATAAAATCCTTACGCTACTTGAATCATAAAACGTCTTTCTTCGCTTATAGATATAAAGAAAATAGGAGAATCTAGTCGGTTAAGACGGCGTGCACAGAAAGATTCCTCTCGAGGGGCGCGATCTGTACGACTGGATGATATATTAAGGGAAGCGAGGAATCTCTGAGGCTCCGAACGAAAGGGATCGGATTAGGCGGGGGTGTCGGCCCAAATAGTTTCACCATCCCTTTCGATATATCAAAACCTTTGAGAGACGTACCAGGTGCGTGCGTGCGTGCGTGCGTGCATAGATACGGAAACGAGCACGACCATATGTTGCCCCGAATGATTCCCCATAAATAAACAACCCTCGCTCGCGTACGCGCCGAGATGTTATTAAAAATAAAAAGCACGTGAAATTTATTAGGATACTGGTCGATTTAAAAGCAATTAGCGGCGAGCTAATGTGACCCGGCAGATTTATGTACATGGCCGATCAAGTGAGAAGTATCACGTCTTTTCGAACGCACTGTAATCGTTACTATAATTTCCACGAGCGCCGCGATTTATCGACTAATATCCTTTTCTTTTTCTTTTCGCGCGTCGGGTTACCGCGGCGCGACACCACTCCGTCGATCTCGCTAATGCGCTTTAGTACGCTCATGCATCATCTCCTGTCTGCAAGGAGAGAAATTCTGCACCGTGTTGTAAACGCGGTACAGATATTTGCGGAATGAAAGAGAGGCGGTTGGCCAGCCGCGGTGTTTACACGAGAGGTGTCCGAACGACAAGTCATCCCGATACTCACTGTTGCTCCGGCTCCAAATTCTTCGCTATGGCCTGAAACAAAAAAAGAAGGCAACATTTATCATGACGGAAACGCAGCGAGAAATAATTAATAATCCTTAGCTTAGCGACAGCCGCGACTGCTTCGAGAGAAACTTTAAGCGGCAACTCTGAACGACTTCATCTCCGCGACGATTATCATCGCCGCATACCTTCGTCTCGTGAGACCTGCACGGACGCAAGGGGGATATACCGATATCGCGAGTCATCCCCTATTTCTCGTTAATTAATAGCGCAAGCCTGATAGACCGCACGAGGCGATCGCGCGCCACGATCAAGGATCGCGTATCGCCGACGAGTGATTGATCGACTCGAGTCTTACGTTAAATAACGATACGTAACGACGTCGGTAGTGAAGACCGGTGAGAAACCCTAAGCACGCTCCCGCCACGGGCACGATGACTCGATGATTGTAACACCGGCGCTTCTTGAAAAGGCATCGATATCAAAGACACGTGGTTCACTGATTCTGCCTCATCGATATTCATATCGTTATGGCAAGTACGTCTTTGGTGATTATTTGCAACAATTACGTCGTTGAATATGCTCGTTACTCAAGCCACCCTATTCAAAGACCCCACAGAAGAATCTAGTAAACAAATTCTTTTAACGATACAAAAGAGAGGTGAGCTATTAGCTGAATAATGTACAAGTTGAAGAAAGTAATAACACGGTGTGCACTATTTATACACGCACGTTTTAGATTAACAGGCGTAGAATACGGTGCAAGGTAAATTGAAACTTTCGTTAATCGGCTTGTAACGTCGCACCCGCTATGGGTGGGCTAATGATAATTACAGGTTTAGATGTAGCCATCCGATTGGCTAGGCGGAGAGATCGTATCTACGGATGAGTACGGAATGAGTATCGGTCGCATTAATAACGGACTCGTGGTATGGCTTTTGTATCCGACGTAATAATCCGACGTTGACTAGGCGTGAGATATTTCCCTCTCCCGTTTAGAGCCGCTTCCGTTGCTCTCTGTTGCTCGTACATACGTTACTTATCTTGAAGTGTAATTTTGCGATCTCATAATTAATCTCGTGTGCTTATTATAAAACGTATTGTTTATATTTGCACTTTCTCTTACGAGTCCATTTCTTAGCGTACAATATTAATAATTCGGCAAATGCGGCAGAGTTTCTTATAATTTTTATCTAACGTAATTAAAATAGTCTCAGTCTTCAACAGCGCGGTGCATTAACACATTAATTTAAGTAATTGTGTGCGATGCGCGTATGATGTAAGAACATAAGATAAAAAATTCACAACAAACAATGCTGTGACGCAATTGGGGCCGGCGAACGCCAGCGTGCGCCTCGGCCTTTGACGAGTCGAGATTCGCGTATTTACGCTCCAAGTAAGGACAGAAGGCGCGAGGTAAATGCAAGGATTTACGAGCCTTCTCGGGAGAGGACATTCGCGGCACTCCTCTCCGGGGAGGACGCAAAGCGCGAAGGGAGAAAGAGAGAACGAGAGGAGAGAGGAGAGGAGAAGAGGAAGGGGGATAAAGGGTACAGGTAGCTTTGGACCACCTGCGAAATTTACTAACCCCACTCGTGCCACGGGCAGTTTATTTTTCGCACGACACACTCTGTTCCTCGCGGTTGACAGCCGGATCGTCCTCTCCGCTGATTCCACCATTCAATTTCACGATCCTTAATCTAATATATGGGCCCGTCTAAATCAGGATTATCGGACCGTGCCGACATTGTGTGAATCTTCCTGACGGTTCGCACGAGTTCACGCAGCATCCGTCGCGCGTCGGAAAGTTTATTGCTGCACCTTCCAATTTTCGTGCTCTCGCAAATGCCACTCACTTCGGAATCATTCGCTTCTACGATTACTTGAAATAACTTTGCGCATATCACGGAATTAAATATTGTTTCGCTGCATTTCTGTGGCGGCTAAATTTTTCATCTCGAGAAAAATAATAAATAAAAAATAATTGTACAATTTCGCGTAGAGAATATATTAAAGAGTGAAATGAAGAGGATGAAATGTAACTATACCGAAAAATTAAACTAAGATGATTTTATTTCTCCAAAGATGTACGGTGTGAGTCGAAAACACGGGCTTCGCACACCGACAAATTCGACCGGTCGAAAACACAACGGGACGTATGTTAAATCATATTTCTCTGCGTGCCAATAATGTGTCTGGTACTGGCTGCAGCGCCGCGAAACATGCGCGCCGTTATGCACACGTCTTATTTTTAGCAAAAGATTCGAACGAAGATTGCAGGCAGATTCATTAATTAAGATGGTAGAGAAAATTGCATTTATCAGAAAGCGTGTCGAAATATTTTCACATATTAATGCATAATGCAGCCACATATTATGCGAAGCAAAATTTGTGTAGGTCATAAAAATTCGCAAAAATGGGTGTTGATCAAGCGCAGCGCGGTACGAAGCCGTCAAAAAAATGCGATCTTGGCGCGCGACGTAGGCGTTGGCGAACGGTAGGTATCGATAATATTTATTGGAAATATTTACGAGGGGTGAGCTTCCACGCCTTTGTACCGAGTGGGCCGTAATATTTCCAAGGTCCTTGCCTGGTCATTCGAAGTCGACGGCGTAATCTCGGCGAAACTGGCGTGAGAACTTTGGCGCGAACGAGGGGTAACCGCAAATTCAGGTGCAACGCACCGATGACAATATGATTGAAGTTTTCTAAATGGTCCATCGCAAACCGTTAAAATAATTATAGCAGTTAGATACGTGTGTTTCATCTATATACTTCCAAAAAATATAGAAAAATAAAAACGTCTTAGTTCTCTGTCTGTCTTTCAAAATAGTAATTATGAGAAATCAATCGGCAACGATAAAAATAAAATTTATTTAGATAACTTTTCAAGCGAAATCTAAAAAATGGGATGCTAATTTCGTCAAGATCACCTCGCAGCAAGACTTCTCATGTCTCTCCAAAAGACACAATGCATCGTAATTGCGAAGCAAAATTGGTCTAATACAAACTAGGACGGCACAGCAATTCAAAGGACGATGCGAACAATGGCGAGCGAACACAGAGGCACTTTCGTAACAGAAATAAGCGAGACGTCGTCAAATTCCACGTGTCACTAAATTCCTGTGTACTCCATGAATTACTCGTAAACATGTATTTTCCTGAATGGGCGAGTATAAAGCAGGTAGGACATTATCATCAAGCTTTATCCAAAAAATTATTATATCTCGCTTGACTCGCTCATTCAAAAGTATCGTTCAAAATTGTCTTCACAAGCAAGCGTTGCTCAAAGCTTATTATGCGTTGGTTGCTGAAACTCATAGTAAAACACGCTATTTCGCTTTTTATGTTATCAAAAACCCACACAATTAAACCCATTTAATTTCATATAATTATCCAAATCCAAATTCTTAAATTCAATTGCAGAGATTACAATAATTAATTTTATTAATTAACCAAAGAGAGATTTTTTAGAGCGAATACTAATTTACAAAATTATAATGTACCAAATTTATACCATTTGCCCTAAATTTAAAAACTTTATATTATCAAATGTATACGAAGAATTCTCTAAAGCAGGAAATACAAACACTAGATTGATGAACGAAGCCTATATAAGAACGAGATGGGGTGGGGGGAATGGAAAAAAGGAAGGCAACCTGCGAGAGGAACATTTTGCTGCATGAGAGAACGAGCGACATTTCTACGCGTTCATATACAGCCATGCACAGAAGCCATATAGACTGCTATATGACCATCTCGAGCTGATATATGCGCGACGTTATTCGTATCCACTTACTTCCTCGTTTGGCAAAAGATTCGAAGCGATCTGAAATAGGTCACCTACGACAGAAGATACGTACGACAACACGACGCGTCGTTCGCCAGTCATCGTTAATGATATTTTAGCAATCACTGAATGACGAATCGTCAACTACAAATGAACTCGACAAACGTGAAAATGTTTGAATTTAAGGTTAAAAAGAATTTCATCTTCGCCATTAAATACGAATCTATTTCAGCGTAATTAGTTGTCTAATTATATAATTTGTCGTTTCCGATTTTATTCTTTTGTCTTTGAGATAACCGATTGAATCGCATAACTTGTTTGAATAGAATATTTCTTGACTCGTGAGAAGAATAATTGCATACGACGTTGGATAATAAATAAAACGTGAATCCATCAATCCTCCGCTTCCCGCGTGCGCAGTAGGTAAACTATTTTAAAAGTCGAATGCCTCTGCGAGGATCTGTGAAAATTGAATTTCCGTCCGCCTTCTCTAATAACACCTCAGTTCGATATTCCGCGGTGCTTTAACGATTTTCGAAAAGATCCAAAGCCGATCGATACAGCGTCGATTAGCGACCACTCCTCAGGCCCTATTGTGCCCAGTGAATTGACCATTAGCGGGGTTCCAAGAGATATCATCGGTGATTATACGGCGGTGAAATATAAGGCATCTCAAAAATATGTCTTTCCCAGTTTCACGTGAAAAATTAACGAACGGACAATAAATTCAAAGCAACATTATGCAATGACGCGTGTCAATTCGTGAGAAGAGATCAATAAAGTAATCTCGGTAGGAAGGTGTCAAAATTCCCCCAGGTACAATGAGGGGCGAAGAGAGAAATTGAATCGTTTGTATCAGCAACGTGCCGGGGTTTAGTCCTTAACGCGGATGCTGCAAGCGCTCGGGAATTGATTACAGGCATCGTATTACCGCGATACGGCGGCGTAGCCTCGCCATTATGTGTGGATAACGAATTAGTACCGCTCCGACACGTGGCTTTATAGACTACCATCAGCGCGCCGCGTGTTTCCTATCACCGACTGTCGTGAACGCACGGCACAGCACGGCGAAAGCGGGACCATGTTTCCTGACCGTGTATAAATAATAGGGCCGCGTCGGCAGTCGCTATAATTCAATTCACACCTGATAACCGCGACCGTAGAATTTCCATATTACAGGCCGTAATAAAATTAAAAATATTTTCAGGGCGGTCCGCACGCCCCGGGGGGTCCGTCTCTC